TTGTCGATCTCGACATGACGCCACAAAGAAAACGTTGTCATTGGTAGAAAATCTGACACCCCGCTGGCGTTTCACAACAAAATTTTCATGTAAACAACTCCGACTGTCTTTGTTTACATCGCGAAAGCTCACCGATACAAAGTAAAACTCCCGCCGGCCGGCCGCGCCCGATCGCATGGTTGCGGCATGGCGCTAAGTTTTCGGCAGCTCGACGGAAAAATAATCCATCCCCAGAAGAAATGTTACGCATGAAAATAACAACTACAACTTGTTTTCCTCGTTATATGAGTTTTTGAGGCCGTAAAATGTTTAAAACGGTTGAAATTTGCTCGAAAAAACGGCTCGAAAATTCACGGCGAGAAAGACAACATGGCCGACCTGTTTTCACAATAACAATGGTCAAAGGTCAAGATAGCATCCAAATGTATAGATACATGTAATAAGTACATATTACAGTGCTAAAACGATACTTTAAACGCATGAAAAATATTTTTTCGGCTACAACTGAAATAAAAATTCAGTTATATTTTAGTAAGGTTAATTTTCAAACATTACTGAGAAATTTTCCGAATTAATTGGTTTCTTGTGTAATACAGTGCTCTCCTGTTATTTGCATGGACGATTTGTCAGGGAATTTTATTCCTATAACAGGTTTAGTCCAATAACCTTAGGAGAGTCCACACGACCGACAGGGAGGGGAGGTCAGTTGGTTATGGATGATACTGGGCTGGGGCCAATTGAAACAACCACAAACATGATGTTATTGGTATTTATATACTCACTTTCACCCACAACTACATACATGTACCATATTCTAATCTTCAAGTCGCATTCAGAAACTCATAATGAACAGGGCTAACATGGTGATAGAAGATCAGACACCACCTTCATAGTGTTGGGCAAAAGCTTACCAAACCTAAAACAACAGTCCAATCAAGGACACCAAAAAGGAACAAAGGACTTCTTTTCACACAATCAGTGATTGGGGGTTCTCACCTGTCCAGAAGGAAGTGACAACAGAGAAAGTGTATGACAATGGAGGGTGCAGGGGTGACAATGAATGAATAACAATGGACTTCATGCGGATTTGCTGATGCGCAACAAGTTACATGTACTTCTTTCACGTATTTCTGGGTCAGTGTGCCATTGACTTGGAAATATTTTAGTCCAATATCAGGTTAAAGTCATAACAGCTCATGCAATTATGCCATGCAATTTATAATGTAGTGAATGGGAAATGGTTTGGGTTTTCAGAATTTTATGCAGATCCCAGGTTTATGCCAATGTCAGTGATGCAAATAGTTGGTGAGCACTGTATTGTTGTTTCTATGTATGTGCGGTTGGATGCTGTCATTGTAAAGACCCTATTGGGAGAATCAGATGAGATATTAGAGATTATCACGCTTTAATACCGTGACCCGAGTGTCTCTCAAAAATTGTTTTTGAGTGGAGTTTATAAACATGATCACATTTTTATTTGTTCAGCTGTGTCAATATGTGATTTGTTTGAGAAATAGGATTTGGTTTAGTTTTTAATATATTAATGTCAGTTAACATCTTTGGAATAAATTGCTCCAAGTTCCAGGTAGTAAATACATGTACATTTTGTATCATGTATTTTTCACTTGTTGAACTTGTGGAAGCACCGTTGGCCCCCGGTTAGGGGTCATCCGGGGAACCTATGCCCAATTTTTTTCAAAATTAAGGGTAGAATTTTTTTTTAACATGAGGATAATTAAGTACAGATCTTGAACCTTTCTACTGCCTTATACATCTGCAGTTGTACAGAAAATGTAGAACTGAAGTTGCAGGAAATGACCTCCATTTGTGTTTGGAAAAGACAAAATGCAATAGCTTCCCCCCCCCCCTCCCAGAACTCCCCCCCCCCCCCCGCCCCCCTCCTCCACCCTGCTCTGAATTTCTGGGGAGATCCCTGTCTGTGTAGTACAAACAGATCATACGTTCATTGTCCCGGCTTTGAACTAAAAAAAAAAAAAAAAAAAAAAGTAGAATCCCTACCTACCGACCCTAATTTTTTCTGGACTGTAATAGGAAACACAACATTTATTTTGTTAGGCCTAACCATGTCATGACAAACCATTGTTGTTAAACATGCAAAGCATACACTTGACTGAATGTCCGGTTCATTTGTGGCTGAAGTAAGGTACTGGCACAATTATATGCAAAGCGATTTTAGTGCTTTGGGAATAAGCAACTGTCACACTGACATTTCAATGACCTGCAACAAGAGAAAAATGTAATCTTTTAACTCAAGGATTTTTTGGTAGAGGTAGTTGTTGATTCTTTGACACGGTATGGTACAAAAGAAAATCCCCTTTCTGACCAGGCTACACCCAGGGTGGGCTCAGCAGCAAGGAACCATTGATTCTGCACAAAGATGTCCAGCGCAAGACACGCCCCAACACTGTCAGGAGAATCAAATCTTTCTCCATGCAGCCGGCTGACAAAAGACAAAACTTTGTCAAACGGTACACCAGCAGCCCAGGCCTGTCTCGGGCAGCCAGCCAGGACTGTCTGTCTAGTGAGAGAAGCGTCTCCAACAACGATGTATCGCCTCAAGGTTACAGCAACATGTCAAGGGCAACCAGTTACACGTGTCTGTCTGCTGAGAAGAGTCTCTCCAATGGCGACTTGTCCCCTCAACATCCAGCAGTCAAAGTGAAACTCAGCATGCCGCGCCCACGAGGCAGGATGTTTTCCATTGTCGGCTGGAGTAATCCCAAACTTAACCAGGCTGTGGAACCTTCAGGCCCCCGTACAGGACCTGGCGTCTCCACCAGGCTGGCCGCCGGATCCAGCTACAGCACCGGTCGTGCCAAGACTACCACACAGGGTACAGGTACAGGTAATTGTGCTGGCATCTCAGGAGTGGACATACTCACAACTCTGCGCAAGGTGCTTCCTAACCAAACCCTCCAGCTTGGTCCCCACCCACCCCCCTCCCCATCTGTGGTGTGCTTGCCAAACTTCCTGCACTTCTACCTTGCCCCTGTAGAGTGGAATGCAGTAACGGGTGCATGCTAAGACAACAGATACTGGCAACAAAATATTGCACATTCTATGTTTACCCTCATGTTTGTTTACACATTTTATCTGCAGATGATGAGCATGTCGGTGTTCAGATGGCTACCACTACAGAGGCGCTGCAGTTGTGCTGTCTGTTGTCTCATCCAAACGACTACCGGAAACTGCAGCTCTTGGTCAGGTTCATGACGTCTGTAGCCAACAACCCTTCCCTCACACTTCACCCAAGTCTTCCTGCCAGAACACTGGTATGTGCTATGGGATGTCTCTACAAAATATATGACCAAACTCATAATTGAATTATCAAAGACTGACTCTCTGGCCTGCTATAGTTCGTAAGCCATTTTTCTTTTGTTTTCCATAATTTGTGGCACTTAACAAAACTGTTAAACAAGAACGGTGTCATGTATATGCCTAGTAGTGCACAATTACTAGTATAATCTTGTACTGTTTTGTAGTATCTTCCTGCATGTGTATACTAGTACATGTATATATTTCAGTCTTTTTGACAGCTCATTGTTTATTTTCTATGCTGTAGATGCTGAAGATCTTCACCTGGTGCATTGTGCGAGGCAGTAGCCACCAGCAGAACCAGTATGCCTATGACTTTGGTGCCATGCAGATGGCCTCCTACCTCCTGGACCATCACAAGGACATCCTGGTGGCTCCTCCAGACTTCCAACAGAGAGTACAGAAGCTGGTGCAGAGGAACAGACCAGGACAGGTGGGAACACTTAATGGGTTTTTGTGACAAACATGAACATGAACATGGACATGACATGTACAATGTACACATTCACTAGGTACATGTACAATGGATGCCATGATGATAAAAGACCATATTTTGGGCATGTTTAAAAGTATTACTCCAAACTTTTTGCCCTGTGGGAATGGTTGACATTTACACATGGCATACTGGTACCATTTCGTTTGGAACTCAAAATCAAATCAGATGATCTTCAGTCTAGTTACAGGTTCAGTAATGCTCATATCACTCAAATTTTCTACAGAATATTGCCAGTAGTAGGGGTTCATAAACTAGTAAGATTGCCCCTTAATAAACAAATAACCCATTTTTCCACCAAGAGTTCTGGTACTAATGGCTCATAACATGCCAGAATAATCGTCTCTACGATTGTGGGCATCAGATGGAAGAAGATAACACTAATCCATACTTGTGTATTTTACACTGACTGTTGTACCTGTGACATCTGCAGAGAGTCACCTTCTGCAAGCAGATCAGCTGTGAGGAGTTTGAGAACCAGAAGCTGAGTCTATCCCAGCATGCCCTGGCAGAGCTGCTGCAGTCCATCCTCCATGACAGCCGCATGCCAAATAAGGTCAGGCAGAGGAAACTCAAGCAGGTGACAAAACTTATTCACTGTTATCTAATACATTTGTGCGATAATGAAATAATGAGATTGTGTACTGTTCTATTACATGTACATGCATTTTTAAACCACCATCACCTGTGTCATCAATTGTGCCATATGTGAAGTACAAGTACCCAGTATTAATTGTTTGTAAACATAAACACCTGTTTCTGAACGCTGAACCATGTACTAGCAGTAAGGATTGGATCAGGTAGATACAAGTACCATTATTTTTGAGAACTATATTGAAATTGTAGAAATTTCACACTTATGCTGAATATTTCCTCTCCACAGTTCAAAGAGATCTATCCAGACATCTATGCTGAACATGTCGCGCAGAACAAAGAGAACCCTGCAGCTGTACAGACTCAAACAACAGCCAAGCAGGGTTTTCCTAGAATCAAAAAGCCACTTCTCAAGCTGAACAGTTTGCGGTTTTAGTGTCCACGCTGATTTGTAAAGCTGTAAAGGCCAAAGGGCTAATATACCTATTCTTGTGTAAATTGTTTGAAAGAAATCAAGTTTTCAATTGTACAGTACTGATTTTGTAAAGAGAAATGATTGTTAAGACAAAAATTAATGTAATCAATGAAACTGGCCTTTGCAGCATGGTAATACTGTTTTAGTGTGAAAGGGGCCACATTTAACCAAGGAATGAAAGACAATAGTCTCCCTTTTCCTGTGACATTGAGTTTGAACATTGTTTTTCCGTTTTCAGACTAACATTGTTCCAATTGAGTCAGGCAACAATCGGTAGTTGAAAGATGTAGAATGATCAGTTTCTGTATAGGTTAGCTGTCCTTACATAAGTTTAGGAGTATGAATATGTGTAGGAGTTTGACTTATAGTCATGTCTTTGTCTCCATTGTCTGCCACACTTGTAGATGATTTTGGTAGGAAATTGGTGTGTAGACAAATGTAGAGTTGTTTTGACAGTAGGTTGTAGAACATTAGTAGAACATTAGTAAGCACATAACTTAATGTTGCACTGTAATGAAAGACTTTTTTATCAGAGTTTTAATATCCAGTGAATATTTTGCAGTATTCCATGGCACAGCTAATGCCTAATATGATCACAGTGACTGTAAATTGAGGTAAATGCAAAAGAATAACCCTTTTGTTATGTACTGATTATTAAATGTTGACAATCTTTTAAATCTTCTTAAACTTTTTTTAGCAATTATCACATCAAAGGGGTCCTTCCCTCACTGAAAAATTCATGTCTGCTGTTACAAAATACAGGTCAAAGTGATGAGCAGAATGATTAAAAAAGTTATGAATAGCTTTTATATTTGGTTAGTCTTGGCTGATTAGTGCTTGTGCTGTAGAGAAATACTTGTAGATCATATATATATATATATATATATATATATATAATATATATATATATATATATATATACGTATATATATATATATAGAGAGAGAGAGAATACATGCATAGAGTCAGCACGCAACCCCAACAACTTGTTTTAAAACACATAGACTGATTTTGAGAGAAATGCCTGTACGTTCAAAAGTCTCTTTGTATTACTAGCGTTAACCCGGGGACGATAGGCGCGGCAACTGCCGGTCACGTAACTGGAATTCATACGGAGACCCCGCCACTAGTCCCGGAGGAATCCCTCCCCCGACTCGGTAACGGGTTGGCCTCGGATTCGGTCAAAGGCGCCGCTACATGCCAAGCCTCGCACAGAATATGTCTGTAGCTGCCTAAGCTACCCAACATTGCACCAATCTGCCCCGTTTGTCGTGTTTTCTTGTTCCAGAGAGTGAGAACTGACAAAATGTCTTACACACTGGCGTTGCTTCGGCGGGGTCAACATGGCGCTGGCGGACCTTCGAACCTGGGACGAGTTTACGGCGCTTAACAGTTGTGTGGCGCTTGTCCTACGTTACATCTGACATCTAGAAAGTCTACAAACTACACAGACGATACAATTTAACCTAAAATACCTTTATTGAGCAACAACTCCCTGTTTCGGTCCATCCATTGAAGGTCAGAGCAACCCAATCGTCGCCGTTGTTGAACTTCATCTCTGCTGCGTGACAAAAGCGTCGTCTATCGGAATACGACATCATTGCAGTGTAAGAAAATCTACAATAGGATTTTACATTGGTTATTTAAAAGCGACCTCTAGCAGTTGGAAACATAAAGGCATAAGAACGGCGACAACTAAATTGCAGCTGATAACTGAGTTGGTTTAATTAGAAAAACAATAGCCAATCAGGATATGCAATCGATTGTTTTACGGCAAAATCCTAATGAACATAGAAACAAGAAAAGTGATTGGCTACTGGAGATGTCAAAATTAACCAATCAGAGAGGGAGTTCAAGATCATTGAGCTTTACCATTGGGCGGTAAGAACCAATCAGCATCAGCTCAGATGGTACGTACGGGTAGCTAACACAGTATCCCGTACAGTATAGAAGGTACCCTATCGTGAATGGCCAATTCATTTTCATTTACCAATCAGCAGCTACCATTTGAAGGGCACGCATGGGAAAGCGAATGTAAGATTTTTTGGTGTTTTTAAGCATGAAAAATCAATAAAAGTTCCCCTCTTAATGAACTGAAGATATCCGATGAATTCAAATGGGCTTATTCTGTCTAACTGAAGAACTTAAAAACTCTATTTGGCCAAATTGAAGGAAATGCTGTTGTTCGCGTCCGAAATCTCCTTAGTACGCGCTAAGGGACTACCTGGCTGGGGATAATTTACGGTCTGAAAGCACCAAGACTTCACGATGAAAACAGTTTTCACGTAATTTGTGGGACGATAGTGCCCATGCTTATTTTAAAAAATACTAAAGCGTTGCCGGACTCTCTGAATCTAGCGTAAAATGAAGCGGGCCTCCTTGGAAGGTGATACGGACCCCTCCATGCGTGCCCTTCAAATGGTAGCTGCTGATTGGTAAATGAAAATGAATTGCCCATTCACGATAGGGTACCGTCTATACTGTACGGGATACTGTGTTAGCTACCCGTACGTACCATCTGAGCTGATGCTGATTGGTTCTTACCGCCCAATGGTAAAGCTCAATGATCTTGAACTCCCTCTCTGATTGGTTAATTTTGACATCTCCAGTAGCCAATCATTTTTCTTGTTTCTATGTTCATTAGGATTTTGCCGTAAAACAATCGATTGCATATCCTGATTGGCTATTGTTTTTTCAAATCAACCAATCAGTTATCAGCTGCAATTTTGTTGTCGCCGTTCTTATGCCTTTATGTTTTCAACTGCTAGAGGTCGCTTTTAAATAACCAATGTAAAATCCTATTACGTCGATGAAGGTTAGACATCCAGGTAATACGATACGCCAAAAAACAGTTACTCAAGCAACTGGATATGATTTTGAAAACGTCAGACGTTTCAGCTAGTATCCACTAGCTTTCGTCAGTGACTGAGAGACCAGAGGGGAAAGCAGGTTTTTAAGTACAACCTGTTTATTGATATGCAAATAAAGTGAAGACAAATTTTTGGAAGTCGAAAAAGGAACAAAAGTTAGACAAGTCAAGACAAAATGATGCAAATTAGTCTGACAGCTCCTGTTATACAGAACAGGAGCTTAAGTGTTGTCTGTCCTCGGGGCTGGGAGTGCCAAATCCCAAGTGCCGGAAAGATCGACTCGTAGCCCCCCTTCCCTGTTGAGGGTGGGGTTGTACATTCTTTTGAAAACAAAGCCCTCAGCACTTTCAATGACACTCCCCCGGCCAACTGGTTTCGATATGTAGATGACACTTGGTGCAGATTGAAAAAGAGGGTAGCTGCTGATTTCTTTGACCACATCAACCAGATAGATGACAACATCAAGTTCACACAGGAGCCAAGTCATGGCAACATGCTCCCTTTCCTAGACACCAAAACTATCGTAGAGGAAGATGGTAACCTTCGTTTCGAAGTGTACAGGAAACCAACCCACACTGATCAGTACCTGGCCTTTGATTCCCACCACCCTTTGGAACACAAACTAGCAGTGATCAAAACTCTACTT